AAAACTTTGAAAAATAAAATAAAACAAATGGGCATGTCCTCAGGAGAGGATCAAATATATATATACGTAGCAACTACATTTTGAGTAATAGGATGCCTGGAAAGACCAATGAGTTTCTTTGCCAAAATTCTTTCACTATAAAATAAGCTCCTTAATCAGAAGCAATGTTCAGAATACCATGAAAATGAATAGTTCATGGTAGGGCTGTTTACAGGAAGAGACCTGGGTCAGGAGACCCTCCTTCCCCCACCTTGATTCTTGTCACCCTCACAGACGAATTCAAGTGAGAGACAAACACATAGTGGAAATGAGAGAGTAAGTAGACTTTTGAAACATACAAGCACAAAAGCAGGAATCTGGCAAGTCTGAATGCCCCACATACAGAGGAAATAAAGTTGTTTGTAAGTTTGTTAGTGAGTTAGTGAGTTTGTTTTATACACTTAAGCTGAGGCTACAAGTGGGTACTTAGCTAATCTAAGTATGCCAACAACTGGGGTTTGAGGGTTATATATCTAAGCTAACTTCCAGAGGTACCCTTCCTTCTTCCCGTTCTAAATCTTGGTAATAATGTACAGTTACAAAAGCTTTCTTTCTTGGTAAATGTTCTGTCTTAGTGAAATTGTTACAGAGGATCCCTTTCCCAGCACAGTCTCAAGGACTCCCCTCCTCCTGCACTATACCTGCTTGTGATGTTTGGAGCACCTGGTGATGTTATCAAACCAGGCTTAGGACTGCTGAGTTAACTGGTAAGACATGTCTCCCTTTTGCTTCTAGCCTTCTGTATTAAATTCTTTGTTACATTGTAACAGCGAGGGCCCTGCTTTATTTCCCCTGTGGCTGCTCATTCCTAGCTGCTATCTAACAGGGCTGCCAGAAACATGGCAGTTAAGTATTAGGGTTCTCCAGGAAAACAGAACCAATGAGAGAGGGAGAGGGAGAGAGAGCTATTAGGCTAACATAACAGAATAACATAACATATAAACTAAGTGGCTAGTAAACAGGAATTTATTTCTTACAGTCCTGGAGGCTGGGAAGTCCAAGATCAAGATGCAGGCAGATTCATTCTCTTTTGAGAGCTCACTTCCTGGTTCATTGCATTTTCATGAGTCCACACATGGGAGGAGAGGCAAGGAAGCTCTCTGGGGTCTCTTTTATGAAGGCACTAATCCTATTCATGAGGGCTCTACCCTTATGACCTAATCATTTCCTAGTGGCTCTATCTGCGAATACACATTGAGGATTAGGATTTCAACATGTGAATGCAGGAGAGGACAAAAACATTCAGTCTATAGCAGTAGTCAATTCAAATCTGAATCTGAATCCTGTAAGAATAAATCAATCCCTCCCTGATGGAAAGGATCCAGTATGTAGTGGAATGATTGCAAAAATGGCCCTAATTCTCCCCAGCTCTGTAAACTCCTTGAAATGTAACTTTGAAGCCACTTCTATTAAGAGATGGAATCTATATCTTCACCTATTGAATTGGACTAGCCTTGTGCCTGACCAGTAAAATGTAGCAAAAGTGACAGTGTGCTAGTTTTCAGCCTGGGGTTCTAGGTCAATCCACATACCAATTCTGCAGGCCTTTTGCTTGACTTTGGAACCCTGTCATTGTTATGAGAGTGAATCCAACCTAGCCTGTTGGAGAGTGAGTGACCACTTGGAATTAAGCCAAGCTGACCCAGCTGAGGCCATCTTAGACCAGCCACAGCCCAGTTGATCCACCATCTGACTACAGATGCATGAGTGAGCCCGACAAAGACCAGAAGAACTGCCTCATCCATAGGCTTATGGGAAATAATTAATGATTGTAGTCTTAAGGCTTTAAGTTTTGGGGTTAGGGGCACGTCCTGTGATCAGGCAGTCCTTTAATTGCTAAGTCTACTTGCCACAGCAGAGAAGGGAGGAGAATGGATGGAGAGAGGGGCAGGAAAGGACAGGGAAGAGAGTGTTTTGGTTTTAAAGAGGTACTCTAGGAAAATAATGCAGACCTGATAACCTGGCACAGTGCTATGAACTAGAGCGTCTCCATGAGGGAAATCTTGAAGTTTTACTCTTTGTGTTTTTCCTGTGGATTATAATGACAGTTATATTTATATTCAGTTTTATATTTTCCTTTTGTGACTCTATAATTTTCTTAAGTTAATCCCAACAGACCTGAAAAGTCTCATAGTCCCCTACAAATGAACACAGACATTATTTTAAACATTAATGTGCTTTACTATTTTGCTTTTTCTGTCACGAAAGAGGAAGGGAAGAGATGGCATTATTGGGTAGGGAAATAAGTGTCTACTTGATTGATACACTTTTAATTTATTTTTTTTGGATGATTTTTTTTCACAGTCCTGTAAGCCCCACCACCTTAAATCCTTTTTGGACAAACATTTAATTAAATTGCATTGTCTTCAATGAACATTCTCCTCCCCAGTAATTTTAAGCTATCTATAAATATAATTTTTAAAATGTATATATATATATATATAGTTTTTAAACTTTTATTGAGTTTTGGGGTGACATTGGTCATCCAAAATTATGTAGGTTTGGGGCATACAATTCTATAGTATATCGTCATCTATATATTGTATTCTGTGTTCACCACCCTCAGTCAAAGTCAAGTCTCCTTCCTTCACCATTTGTCCCCTGCTTTACCCTCTTCTTCCTCCCCCCACTTCCCATTCCCTCTGGTAATCAATGTACTATTGTCTGTACCTATGAGGGTTTTTTTTTTTTTTTTGCTTAATCCCTTCACCTTTTTCACCCAGCCTCCCAACGCTCCCCCTCTGACAGCTGTCCATCTGTTCTCTGTATCTGTGAGTCTGTTTCTATTTTTTTTTATTGTTAATTAGATTCCACATGTGAGTGAAATCATGATATTTGTCTTTCTATAAATATAGTTTTGATTTCTTCCTAACATTGCATTATGTAGATGAAATATAACTAACTTGACTTATTTCTAACTGTAAGTTAAGTGGGATAAAAAAAGTATGTAATTAATTGTATTATGGATTGGGAGTTGGAGGGGGATGTTTAAATTGCCTTTGTTTAATAAAAGAGTTTAGTAATTTGCTTAGGAAGAGTCAGATTCTGAGGGATGCAGGCTAGAGCCAAAGCAATAAAAAGAAGTAGCTAAACTGGAACATGGTCTTCTGGCAAATGACAGGGCTGGTAGAAACTTGGCGTGCCTCTAAAGTCTGTTTGGAATGGGCACACTGTCACTTCCACACATACTCCATTGGCCAGATTAAGTCCTGGGGACAAGCAGGAAGTCAGCAGGGTGGGGAAGATTACTCCCACCTACTGAGAAGCAGGACCAGAACAGGGAGGGGAGAAAGAATAGGAAATGAATACAATCTACTAGTGAAAAGCCTCTAGTGATGTGGGTGACTGACACATTTTTAAGAATAGATATGTCCAATATTCAATTTGAAGTTATTCACGTTTGTGTTGTAAATTCTCCCCTTTATTTTCCTCTATTTTCCACAGTCTGTCATATGGACAAATAGCTCATGGGAGTGGGTTGTCAAAATTAGGAAAAAGATCTGAGTTAAATCTAGGTGAGCATTGTGCAGAACAGCAACAACAGGTTCAAGATACCTAGATGACCCCCATGCTGAGTGATGACCCCCATGCTGAGTGAATCCAGCAGGAGCAGAGAACCAGAGCTGACTATAAGAAGACATTATTCTTCTACGAATGTGAAAAAATCTTAGGGAGGACACTGACCTCCCCATAACTCATGAAATGGAGATTTTAAGCAATTCTATTTACATCTTAAGAAGCAGGGTGTCTCCTTGGAATCTAATCTCATGATGACTGATCAAAGGTTATGAACTTTTTTCAGACACTTGATAAATAATGTTGATAGCTTCATGACAAGAAGTTCAAATAGACAATCAGGATTTTTCCACTTTAAATTGTCAGTTATATTAAATACCAAAAAAAAAAAAAGAAAACATAAAACAAGCTTTGAAAACAAGAAAAAAATATACAAGCAGATGACTTTGTTCTGAGCAATTTTATGTTTAAATTTGAAACTCCCTGAGTCAGTATTAATTTCTTAAACTTTGACATTTAAACTTGACCTTCAGTCCTGGGAAACCCAGGATGGCTGGTCACCCTTCTAGGCACAGAAGAGAGCCATCCATCCCAGACACGGATTTGGAGAAGGATGAATGTCTCCATGTGTCCTCCTTAAAGCTGTGTTTTAGGTTGACAAGCAGAACCTGAAACAGGATGCAAGCAGTTTACTGACATGTGCTGTCAGGAATGGGGGTGAGGGAAGCAGGGTAGATGGAGCAGAGGGCAAATGCTAAGCAAGAATGTGGTGTCAGATGAAGACTGACTGCAGTCCCATCCCACAAGAAGCTCTGGAACAGAAACTGTACCAGAGCTGGTTCCTCCTTGAGGTAAGGGGGAACCACACAAACAAAAGGGCAATCTGTTTAGAAACAGATTGCTGGACCAACCTCCAGAGTTTTTTGATTCCGTGGGACTGAGGAGGGGGACAGAGAATTTATATTTCTAACAAGTTCCCAGGTGTTGGTGCTACTGCTGCTGCTCTAGCGACCACACTTTGAGAACCACTGTTCTACAGACAGGGCAGCTGTGAGGCTTTAGCAGCCAACACTCAGAGCATCTGCCAAAGAGGATCCGAGTGGCATCTACTACAGACACTAACTTGGCATGTTCCTCAGGAAGGCACGCACCTGGGCCAGAGGTCTGGTCCACAGGCTGAGCCTGGGTAGATTGCATTTTTAGGTCAGACTATTTAGATTCATAGTGTCCAATTACATTACTGTTGACATCCTGCAGCTCCAGCTGAAGCATTTTTGAAACATTCCAACTCATCTCAGACTTGCTATTGGACTTCAAGGGAAAGTCTGGCAGGTACAGGAGGCTTCAAAGAGGGAGCTGCTGCACCTCACTAGGCGTATACAGTGGAGCCGGTTGTATTGAGTCGAAGGTCCTCACGAGGGAGAAAAATATTTGGGGGCAAGCTCTACAGATCACCCTGGAAGTTGTTTCATGTTTATTTTTGAAGTTAAAGTAACATGACTTTTGAAGGCAACTTTTACTTTCATAAGTCCCACCAGAACCCATAACAACCCCTGACCCTGAGAATCACCACCAGGTGAATTGGAACGTATAGAAGTATTCGTAGGCCCCAGACTTAGGCTGGAATGTCTTCTTGGAGCAGCGCTCATATGCCACCTGGTACCCCTGCGCCTCAATGTCCATGCGCACTGAGTCCAGAAGGTCCCTGATGGCCGGAGCTGCCTTCCAAGGTCCGAACTTGACGACCAATCTCTTGTCCGCCTCCAGGACACGCAATGATTCTGCGCAGTGCGCGGCATCCTCCTCTGTGCGCACCGCGCACACCAGCACGTTGGAACAGCGCGCCGCCACGGCCTCTGCGCGCGCCAGGCGCACCATGAGCTCCAGGTTCTCACTGTAACCTGGCACCCGCAGCAAAAACTGCTTCCGAGCCACCTGCTCACCAAAGATCTGCGGCATGTCCTCTAGGAGTTTGACTAAAGGCTTGATTTCGTAGAACTGAGCCTCACGGTACACCTCCGGAATGTGCTGCTTGGGCAGCTGCCCGCTGCGCAGGTAGTCCAGGATGGCTCCGAAATAGGTGCCAGGGCGGTCGATGAAGAAGCGGCCCTCCGCATCAGTGCAGGCCTTGGCTGAGCTAGAGAACATATCTGCCAGCTTTGAGCCTGGGAGTTTTCTTAGGGTGCCCACGGTAGTGGTGTAGAACTCGCCCCCCACGTTCAGCTCCAAGACTGGAGACACCTGGGGGCACAAGAGGCAATGAACAAATAGCGCCACCTCCAGGGAGTTCATGACTTATTTTCATCCGAAGAATAACCCCGTAGAGAATTTAGGAAAGCCACGGTTGGCTTCAGCTGTTATAGAAAGGTCCATCTTAACTGAAGGGGGTTATATTTATCCCGTATAGCTGCAGAGAATGGGAATTTCAAGGAAGACAAAAATTTCAGTTTGATATAAGAATACCCATTCAAGCATTTTAACTTTCTCATTGAGGTCACAGAATATTAGATAGGAGGCTGCTGTGGAAGCAAGTCCCAGCAACAATACACGCGAAGTCTGTGGCCTTGGACAAGGCTCTTCCCCTCCCTGAGCCTCATGTATAAAATGGGGATATGGAGCTGTTGCGAAGTCAGAAGTTCCCAACGTGGGATGCACAGGTCTGAGACACAATAAAGAAAGGGGCAGGGGAGCAAACCATTTTCAACTTTTCAGAAAGGCTGAGGAACCATACGTGCATTCTATTCAGGAAACATTCTTGAGTACTTACTGTGTCTACATCCTGTGCCGAGAGCTGGGAATAAAAATTCTGATTAGCAGTTGGCATGACTTTGATTTAACAAATAGAATTTGTTTGATGGATTTTTTTTTCAAAATATGGACTCAAGGAGATTAAACAGCAGGAATATCCTTGGTGAAAAGGCCAGTAACACTAGATACAATGGGTGTAAAATGGCCTCATGAACTGTTAGGTTAGTACGAATGTGAATTAGGTTTAGCTGTTCAGCAGAATTTGTAGAGACCTCTTCTCTCTGCAAGACCTTGGGCTGAGCACCACAGATGTGGGTGCAACCCACGCAGTGCTTGCACAGAGATGCCCATAGTCCAGTGCAGAAAGAGACGTGGACACAGGCCGACAGGCTGCATTTGGGGAACGCTAAGGGCTGCCATACAGACCAGCAACAATACCGGAAGACCGTATAGCAATTATTACATGTGAGGTGATATACCAGCTGTTATTCTTACAAACCAGCTTCTGGAACAACCTTCGTTATTTAAAATCCACTCACTCATTAAATAAAATATGTATTGCCTACTTTTGTGTCAGGTACATGGGACACAGTGAGCAACAAGCAGAACACAGTCTGTCTCCAGAGTCTAGTAACTGTGCAAAGCACTTTGCATACAATCACTAACTCAATTCTCATAGCTATCCTATGAAGAATTATTAAGTCCCCATTTTACAGTTAAAGAAACTAAGGCTTAAGGAAGTGAAGTTTCCTAATATCAACCAGCTCTTAAGTGATGATGTCAGCATTTGAACTCAGGTCCGATTTACCCTAAAGCTTGTGCTTTTAGTCATGGTATAAATTAGTTTTCAAATACACTTCCACTCTTCTTTTTTCCTTAGTTATTGATTCATTTCAAAAAAGTGTAAGGACGACCTATTCCATTCAAGCCTCCTACTAAGCAGATGAATACCCCTTAGTCCCTGCCCACAAGGGGCTCACAGGGGAGAGAGGGAAACAGATGGCTTTGGGTGTGTAGGAGCCAAGAAGGAAGACTCAGAGGTAGAGGGGTCAGCTTTTGTGGATGTGTGTTGGAGACTGGTCAGGGAAGGTTTCCTAGCAGATGTGATGGCTGCTGCTGTGTAGATCTCTGCAGCACTGGAAGACTGAATTACCAATCTGAGAACTCAGGCTGTGTTCTACAGGCTGTGGCAGGGCCAGAGCCCAGGAATGTCCTTCCATCTGATTTAGGTGTGACCTTATTCTCAATTTGTCTGTGAGCTCTACCTCGAAGATTAAAGTACTGGGATTAAGAGAGCCACAGACAGCCAAACTGCTGCGGAAGAATTGAGTTCCCATGGCAACAGCTCCTGCCAGGGGACAGTTCTGCTGGTTGGAGGGGAGGAAAGAGAGGAGAGGATGCACTCTGACAGCAGCCAAGCAATACAGCCATGAGAAAAATAAGCCTGGAACCTGTGACTCCCTCTTTCATTCATCAACCTCAAGGTCCCTTGGCAAAGCTCTTTGGTTAATCCTAAAGTCCCTCTGTGCAGCTGGTAGTTAAATGCAAAGTTGCAGACCTTAACCCTTGAGTGGATCGATGTGCTGTCATCACTCCTGCACCACTGAAAGCTCACAGGTGCTCTTCACATCCCCACACTGCAGGTTAGGAAAGCTCAGAGAGAAGAGCCACACAGCTCTTGTGTGATGAAGTCAGAGCTGGGACCAACCCATGTCAGTCTGGCCCCAGCATACATGGGTGCCCTACCTCCACCCCTCCCAACATCCAGTCCCACCGCTGCCAATGCTTAGCTATGTGCCTGGGGCAGTTCACTTCCTTCTCTGAGTCTAAGTTTAGTCATCTATGAAATAGGGAGGCAGAACGGATGAGAGAACTCCAAGTCTCTACAGCTCTGAAAGTCTAATGAATACAATCACTTCAAATGTCATTTCTGAAGTTCATTTCCAGATGCTTCACTAAATAGCTTCCTGCGCTGATATGCTCAGCCTTGTTCCTTTGTTTATCAAATAAAAACTTGGCCCTATTCCCAAGCTTCCTTTTTCCCCTTAAGCTTCTTAATTCCATCCCTCTCCCCTTCTTCCCTCCCCCCCCCCAAAAAAAAACTCCCTGTCTCTTTGGAAACCCCAGACCTCCAACCTTACCCATATGTATTACAGTATCTGTTTCTGGCACATTAAAACTTCTTTTGCACCCTTCTTCGGGACCACCTGCCCTTCCTTGTGGCACCTATTCCCCACCTTTTCTACCAGTCACCCTGCCAAAACAATCCTGGGTGGGAAAGCCTGTCTTAGGCCCTGTGTGCATGAGCTGGGGACACATGGTGGTTAGGAGCCCCTGCTGAGTGCCAGGCCAGGGCTGGCCATGAGGACACAGGGATGAATCAGACAGGCCCAGCCCTCACGCAGTTCAAGTTGAAAGGGTCCCAAACATCAGCAACCCCACCATTCATACATTTCCTTAGGTCACCCTCAGTGGAGCCAATGGAGGGACATCTGAATTCATATGTCCCCTAAGCTCCTCAAGGTCTCTCCCCCAGCTACAACTTTCACCTTTTCTATTACTTCCTATCTTAGTTGTCTGAGCCAAAAACTCAGGCATTAATCTTGCATTCTGCTCCCAACCTCAACTCCTCCTGCCACAATCGCGCGGACCTTGAAACACACACATAATCAGTGGCCAAATCCTGGTAATCCTAAGTGTATGGTCAGTTCCAGGGCACACTGCCTCACTCAAGGGCCCTCTCCCAATCCAGTCTCCTCTCTGAAAACAAAGTAGTCTTTCCTAAGTGCAAACCTGATCTGTCTCCCCTGCATTAAACACTTCAGTGACCCTACCTTCCTTTTCAGATAAACTCTAGAGTCCTTAACTAGGTTCACTAGCCCCTCTGCAAGGCTGACAATCAGCTACCAGAATTGCCTGCTGCCTCCCCACCCCTTCCCAACTAGAGCAGGGTGGGCCCCCCTTGCCTCCAGGATTTCACTCCTTGCACGCTCCCTTCACTTAGCCCACTCATCCTTCAAGTTAATTCCTCCAGGAATCTTTCTGTTGTAGATGGGTTGTCTCCTAGTGATCCCAGAGGGCCCTGTACTTCCACAGTCTGGTAATTACCTATCTTGTAATTTCCTTTATCATATGTATCCTCCATTAGACTGTGAGGTTCCTAAGGAAAGACTATCCCTGATTCATCTTTATAGCACTGGTACCTACTACAGGGCTCAGCACAGCGGGGATGCTCAAAAAAACTGCATGGAGTTGAATTGAATGTCCCTTACCTGCAGCACTGATTTACAAGGGCACCTGCTATTCTGATAAAAGCCAGTCTTGCCCTACCTGGCACGATGCACTTGCTGGCTCCCTCCATGGCCCAGCAATTCATTCAGACATTTATTGAGCACCTAGGGCAGCCCTGCCACTGAGCAGGTGACTTTGTCAATAGCCAACAACAATGACAATAACACCTCTCTGTGGGGAAGAGCCAGTCTCCCCACTCCTAGATCTGCTTTCCCTTCCCACAAGTCTTCAGGATGGCACCTAGCCCAAGAGAGATTAGAATGCCCTGCTCCTAGAGTGCACTGGGCCTTTTCCTCATACCCACACCCCTCAGACTCCCCTCACCCAAGCCCTAGGAGGGAGCAGGGAGCCTCAGGACCCAGCCGGAGGGCAGGCGTAGGCTGGAGAGGGTGGGGGTCTGACAGCCTTTGGTTGGGTCTGCTTCTCCCGTGGGCAGGAGGGATGGGGCAGGGTAGAGGGAGAGACAGCGAAAGAGGGGAGGACTAGGACCAGCCAGGGGACAGAGAGAGGACACACACAGCAAAGCTAAAACAAAGAGAAGAGAAGGAGACAAACCAAGGCAGCCAAGCAGGAAATAGCGCAAAGAGGAGAGGCTGGACTGAGCCAGAATGGGAATGGAGACAGTGGCGCGCGAGAGAGGAGAGAGACAAAAATGTCAGAAACGGCCAGGAGAAAAGAACGCCCAGCCAGAGGTGGAGACGGCGCACCAGAAGCGACGGGGTGTGGAATCAGACCCCGGGGAGGGACCCGGGGACTATAGAAGGAATGAAAGACGGGAATGGCTGCGGGACAGGCGCGGAAAGGTGCCGGCCCCCGCCCGCCTCGGGCTGCGCACTCACGGTTGGAGGGCTGGCGGGGGGTGCGGCTCGGCTGGGCCGTGGGGAGCGGGACGTCGGGGTCAGGCTCATCGTCCTCTCTGTGCAGGCAGCTGGCGCTGCGCAGCCGGCGGCCACTCCTGCAACCCGCCCAACCCGCCACAGGTACTTGTACCTGGCGGAAGTGCACCTGCTCCCCGCCCTGGGGTGGGGAAGCTAGCCCCAGGGTGTGGTTAGAAAGGCGGATTGGCCTGACTGGGTCTTGCTTCCCCGGAGACCCTAGGCTAGTCGCAGCGGGGTCTCTCACCCGGGTATTCCCCGACAGCCTAATGGGGGAGACAGAGGGAACTAACATTGCAAGCAGGAGACCTACTTACTTCAGTCCTAGGGGGTAAAGGATCACCACCACCCTATTTACAGATGAGAAAAGTGAGGCCCCAGGAGATAGGATGGCCAGTGTAGACTTTATCCACCTCAGATCAGCTGCTAAAAAGTGTAAAGCATGACCTGGAAAGAAAAGAGCTAAGAAGCCTGTTGTGTGGGTTATTTTGCCTGTTAAAACTGTGAAAATTACTAAAGGAAACCTCAACTGAAAATGGAGTCCCTACCGCCCGTGAGGGAGCTCTCAAGTTTTACTACACACGATCAATTACCCCCAAACAGGGAGAAATGGATACCTCGCATCTTCAACAGAAAGATGTTTTCTGTTTTATTACCCTGGTAGGAGGAAGGAAGGTTTTCTCCTTGCCTGGCAATAGCTCAGCCAATGAGAGTCTGTCACAACTTAGCTAATGAAAAGCCACTACAGTTTGAACTCCCAGTTTATCCCAATAGACTCTTTGTAACAGCTCCTCCTGATTCCACCCTTTCCTCTGTAAGAAAAGGATCCTCCCCTTTGTTTTCCCGGTTTGCCTATGGTTTCGCCACAACTTGCGTGTCCCAAATCACAATTCTTTGCTATTCCCTAATATGCCCATTTTTTTTCTGGTACACTGACTGTTGTATTTTTTATGTCAACAAAACATAAACATAAAGGATGGGGAGCATAACTCCCACCCCTAAAGTATGGGTTCTGCACAGTGACTTTCTTCCAAAGAGGAAACGTAGCGGGTCCCCGCCTGCCTCGGGCTGTGCACTCCCAGTTGGCGGGCTGGTGGGGGGCGGGGTGGGAGGCGGGCAGCGGGCAGCGTCGAGGTCAGGTCTCCTTGTCCTGTCCTTGCAGGCAGCTGGCACTGCGCAGCCGCAGCGGGCTGTCATTCCTACAACCCGCCCAACCCGTCACCTTTGGAAAGGGGCAGAAAGAAGAGTAACTTTACAATGGAGAAACTGACAAACACTACTGCAGCCAGGTGTTGCGGTCAACATCAAGTCACAAATCATGATGATAATAAGAACCCTTCATATGATGAGATGAAAATGGTACTTTACCTACTTGATATTTCTCCCCAAACCCCATAATCCTATTCTAATCACGAGAAAAACATCAAACATATTCCAATAGAGGGGCATCCTATGATATACCAGACAAGTGATCCTCAAAACTGTCAAGGTCATCAAAAATAAGGAAAGTCTGAGAAAATCCTAAGGAGACATAATAACTAAATGTAATATAATGTGGTATCCTGGGTGGAATCCTGGAACAGAAAATAGGCATTAGGTAAAAACTAAGAAAATATGAATAAGTTGTTGGCTTTAGTTAATAATAATGTATCAATATTGGCTCACTAATTGTAACAAATATACCATACTAATGTGTTAGAATTCTAGGAATAGGAGAACGATCATAGGGTATAGGAACCATCTTCTTAATTTCTCTGTAAATTTAAAACTGTTCTAAAAAATAGTCTAAAAATTTTTGACTCAATAACAATGCAACTGCTATAGAAAACAGTATGGAGTTTCCTCAAAAAATTAAAAATAGAACTACCATGTAATTCAGCAATTCCACTTGGTATATATGGGTATATATCCAAAAGAATTGAAAGCTGGACCTCAGCCCTAACTGGTATGACTCTGTTGGTTGGACATCTTTCTGCAAAGCAAAAGGTCACTGGTTCAATTCCTAGTCGGGGCACGTGCCTAGGTTGTGGGTTTGGTGCCAGGTCTGGGTGCCTCTGTGAGAACCAACATGTTGATGTTTCTCTCTCATGTCGATGTTTCTCTCCCTCTCTTTTTCCCTCCCTTCCCCTCTCTCTAAATATAAATAAATAAAATCTTTAGAAAAATACATAAAAGCAGGATCTCAAAAACATATTTGCATATCCCTTTCACAGCAGCATTATTCACAACAGACAAGAGATGCAAGCAACCCCAATGTCTACCAGTGGATGAATGGATAAATGAATGTGGTATATATATGTACAGTGGAGTGTTACTCAGCCCTACAGAGGAAGAGAATTCTGTCACGTGCTATAACACGGATGAAAATTGAGGCAGTTATCTTAAGTGAAATGAGCCAGTAACAAAAAGACAAGTACTGTTTGATTCCTCTTATATGAGGTATCTAAAGTGATCAAATTAATAGAAACAAAAAGTAGAATGGTGCTTACCAAGGACTGGAGGGAGGGGAGAAAGGGGGATTTTTTTTTAGTGGGTATAGAGTTTCAGTTTTGCAAAATGATGAAAAAGTTTGGGAGATCTGTTTCACAACAATGTGAGTATATTTAGCACTACTGAGCTGTACACTTAAGAGTGGTTAAGATGTAAATTCAATATTATGTGGGGTTTTTTTGTACCGCAGTAAAAAAGAAAAAAAAAGATGACTCTTGGCCATAAACTGATGGTGCAGGAACTTGAAAAATACAGTAACAATAATAATTGATGTGCATCTGGTGAAAAAAAGATAAAGCTTTGGAGTGAGACAACTGGGAATGGAACTCTGAACTTGCCGTTTGTCAGCTGTGTGACCATCTGTCACTTTCCCCCCTGAGCCCAAATTGCTTCTTTTGTAAAATACATTCAAGTACTTACTTTGCTGGGTTGTTGGGAAATAATCTGTGGCGTTTCCCAAACTTTCCTGAGGCAAGACTCAGAGTGCTTTTTAGAGACCAATCTGGAGCCCCATTTCCAGAGGACTGAGACCAAGGAAGGGCCTGGGGACCTGTACATTTAACAAGCATCTCGTCACTGTGGATATTTTGGAAACACTAGAATGATGTATTCACAAGTCTTTCTTAGAGTGGGGCTCAGTGACTGTCAGTGCCCATCCCCCTGGACTCCATGACACCTCCTATCCAGCATCATCCCATCCAACGGTGGGTACCTTTCCGATCCCTTCTTTCCCCTCCTCCTCATGTGGGTTGTCACTTTATGTATTCAACCAAGAGTTACTGATACAACTAACCTTGGCTAGGGGCTGGGGGCTAGGGACACACAGATGGCTGAAATATGTCTTTGTCCTAAAGATGTGAGCACGAAGAACTTTAATGAAAAGGTAACTGAACATATGAAGATATGGTAGGCCTCTGTTACCAGTAATGCAGAAGACTAGATATTCTGAAAGCCTCTTGCTACAAAGCATCTCAAAATACTGAGTGTGTGTATGTCTCTATGTCCGAGCTGGCACAGAAATCAAGGAAATGCTCTGAGGTGCTCCGAGATGATTGAGCACCAACTCCGTGGGCTTCCCTGAGGTTACTTTCAACCCTGAGTGACCTAGAACTCTTATTTTAAGGGAAGAGAGAGTAGGAGGAAGAACCTGGGCCACTCACAGGAGAGGATGTCAGATCAGAGACCACACGATGGTAAATTATTTGAAAATGTGCCGCTCAAAGGTGAGTGTTGTGGAAACTTGCCTGTCCCATCCCTTGGTTCTGGGCAAACAGTCTTCCCTGAAAGTGTTTCACTATAGGCTGGACTCAAGTAGATCTCAGGCCAAATATTCACTTTTTTCATGGTCAAAACCAGCAACGACAATCAGAAATTTAATTAAAAAGGGACCTGAGTTGGCAGTGCCCTCAGATGCCTGACAAATGAAAACCTTTCCTGGAGGAAAGTGCAGTCCAGCCAAGCCCCAGACTCCACGCAGATTGAGTCCAGCAGATGCCAGCTCGCAGTCTGGAGTCTCGAACCAGGAAAGGAACAAGGCGCCACAGTGAGCGCGAGTCCACAGATCCACAGCCGCCTCTGACATTGAGATTGCTGTGTATAGATATGTGTTTAATGTGTTTAAATAAATGTAAGGGTGCATTTAAAATGAATGGAGAGCAAGAACCTATGATTAATAATGGCCAGGCAGATTTGGAGAAAGCCAAGTAGAACTTCTACAAATGAAAAAATAAAATAACTGAAATGAAAAGTTACTGAAACTTAGTAAGAGTTGAGGACATCATCAGAGGAGCAGTGTTGTACTATTTTTCATCATTTTGGCAAATATTGCTAATAACAATAATATGCCAGAGGTGGTAAGAATGCAGGAAAACAGCTCCTCAAACTTAGGTAAATGGAATGTGAACTGCTGTGATTTTTTTTGGAAAGTAATATGGCAATGGCTATGAAAATTTAAAAAAATACAAAACCCAGACATCATTTGACCCAATATGTTTACTCTTGAGAATCTATCCATTAGAAATAAAAGCGCTACTCTGGAAGCATATATGAACAAACATGTTTATCACTGTTTGGTTTGTGGTGGCAAAAATTAGAAACACAGAGGTATGGTTGAATAAACCATGATTTGCTTGTGCCTTGAAATACTATGCAACCATTAAAAAGAATAAGGTAGATCCTACATCTATTCATTTATCCATGATTTTTAAGCAATTAAAAATAAATATTAGAGCTCTCTGGGTTCCTACCTAGTTTGCAACAGCGTGGCTAAATGTGCCGAGAAGTTCGGAATCGTCGGTAAATATGGGAGCCATGATGGCTCCTGCCCCAGGATAATGGTGAAGAAAATTGGGATCAGCCAGCACACCAAGTATACTTGCTCCTTCTGCTGCGAAGCTGAGATGAAAAGACGAGCTGTGGGGATCTGGCCCTGTGGCTCCTGCATGACAAGAGTGGCTGGTGCTGCCTGGACCTACCACCCCACTTCCGCCCTCACAGTGAAGTCGGCTCTCAGAAGACTGAAGGAATCAAAAGACCAGTAGAAGCTCCACAATTTGAAACATTGCTGACCTATAATAAATGGGTTAATTTGTGTAACAATAAATAAATACATATCAGAACATTTTATACTGTGGGAATCCATTTGTGCAAAGACACAATAATAACTTCTATAAATTTATAACTGTATGTGAGCAAATAATCAGAAAGGTGTAGAATAATACACAGTGGGCGTTACCAATGGTTATTTAGTAGGGTGGAGGTTGAAAAGGAGAGGGGTGATTATTCTTTTATAATGTATCTTTGTATTATGTCACTAGTGTCAGTGAACGTGAAAAACCATAAATCATGAAACGGCAGCATAAGACAAGCCCAAGGTATTCCAGGAGGAAGTCAGCCTTTCAATTTGGGGAAATCTGGGAAGGCTTCATGGAGGACGTGGTAGGTAAGCTGGGTTTTGAAAGGAGAAGTTTGTTGAGAGGCCTGTAGGGAATTCTTCCCAGCACAGGAGGGGTCAGCTGTGCCAAGTGAAGAAGGGAAATGGAAAGGAAATGATTATGTGCTGAGCACATGCACTGAACATAGATACTTGTATCCATCCTTCCAAGCAGTTAGGTTTGCTCAACAGATGAGGAAACTGAGTCTGAGAGAAGTTAAGTGAGTGGCTAAAAGTAGCTGGTAACTAACAAAGCCAAACTCAGACTCCATCTCTTTGTCACTCCAAAATTCTCTTTCTGTGACTTTGAATAATTGTTTTGTATGTGGGTTCTATGGTCTGAATGTTTGTGTTCCTCCAAAATTCGTATGTTGAAACCTAACACCCAATGTGGTGGTGTTAGGAGGTGAGGCCTTTGGGAGATGAGGATGCAGCCCTCGTGATCAGGATTAGTGCTTTCATAAAAAAAAAAGCCCAGCGAGTTCTTTCCTTTCACCATATGAAGACACAGCAAGAAGATGGCCATCTATGCCCAGGAAGTGGGCTCTCATCAGACATCAAATCCAGCAACAGCAGCATCTTGGACTTAGAGCCTTAGATTTGTGTGGCGGGAAAGGTTTGTTGTTTACAGACCACCCAGTTTATGGCATTTTTAGCCTCCCAAAGGGGCAAAAGCACTGGACAAAGTATGTACTTCGAACATTATGACTCTGCAAACAGGACTGAGTGCTGGTGAAGCAGCTGTGATCTCCTCAAGGCAGGCTTCCCAGCCTGCAGTGTCTGGGCTGGGGAGTCTCCACAGGCTCTGCACAGCCCACCTGCCCACTTCCTCTTCCGTATAATTCGACTCTCCCTGGTGGGGGGGGCGGTGCTGATCAGCTGCATGGGTCAGGATGATTCCACAGGGAGGCTGGGTTCTGAAGGCTCTTCACCCAGAAAGGAGGGCCGGACCTTTGGAGGGACAGTATCAAGCAGCCCAGGCTTTTAGTCCTGTTTTCTGTTTATTCTGCAGCCCCAGCTGCCCTGGAACACAATCTGCACTCCCATGCCTTACTGCCTTTGCTTATGCTGTTCCTTCTGCCAGAATGCCTTTCCCTACCAGCTCGTTCTCTCTGGAAAACTCCTCCATACCTTTCAAGAACCAAGTCAAATGGTTTTCCTTTTCCTTTTATACCCATTAGGGCATTTATTTGGCCCTCACCATTCAAAATAGAAGTTAGCACCTCCGCTTTGTGTATGAGGACCCTGAGGCTCCCAGAGATGAAGTGGCTCTTTCAGAGTCCTTTAGCACTTAGAAACAAGAGACCGGGGTTCTAGTCTGGCTTTGCCATTCGTGTATCACCTTGGCAAATATATCACTTTGGCAAATCTGACTCTCTCTGGGCTTCAGTTCTTCATTTGTAACATGGTGGGGATTGGGATGTTGTCTGAGATGGTCTCTGTAATCCTGTCTTGCTTGATGCTATGGCAACAAAATAATTCAGCCCTGGCTGATGTGGCTCTGTGGACTGAGTACCAGCCAGCGAACCAAAAGGTTGCCAGTTCAATTCCCAGTCAGGGCACACGCTTGGGTTGCGGGTCAGGTCCCCAGTAGGGGGCGTGCAAGAGGCAACCAATTGATAATGTTTCTCTCCCTCTTTCTCCTTTCCTTCTCCTCCCTCTGAAAATAAATAAATAAAATCTTTTTTAAAAGACAGAATTCAAAGCGCTCCTTGGTGTTACCTATGACTGGATCTTGTTTCCCTTTGGCCTGATTCCAAGAGCCAGCACTGCTTCCCTCTGCCCTCCTCCCATTCACCCCACTCTTTGTTCTTCTTCCTAGGACAAAGCTGCCAGCCCTTCTCTTCTCTAGGAGGCTGGGCTTGAGGCCAGCAAGCCAAGTGGCAGCTGGGACTCAGATGAAAGGGCCCTCAGAGGGCTGCCTGTGGCTGAGTGCCCAGCTCAGCTCAGCCCAGGCCTGGCAGCCCTGGCCCTAGCTGTCTCCCACAAGGCACCCTGCCAGCACTCCCACACAAAGCTCCCTTTGTGAGTCCCACAGCAAGGGAGACCCCTGCCAACCCACAGGGACCCTCTTCCCTTCCCTCTGCTCCATGCCTGCTTGAAAAATATGCAGGTCTTTAGAGAATGGTCCAGGGCTGGACCACACTGGCCTGACATTGGACCCACACTTTGGGAGGTTTGTTCCATTTACTCTTCAGAACAGCATTGGTAGCAGGTCGGGCCATTCTCCTTTAGGGAGGAGGGACACGGATATCTGAGGGCCTACTGTGTGTCAATCATGGCACAAGGCTTGGGGAAAGAGTAGTGAATAAGACTATAGCTGCACTCCTGGAGCTCATGACCAGTGGGGACACAGAGTAATTGAACGACCACACAAATAAATACCTGGTGATACAGCCTTATCCGCTCTCTGAGAGGAAACAGCAAGGAATCATGAGAGCATGAGAGCACAGAGATAATGGTGGGCTCATGGGTGGTGAGCAAGCGCAGGGAAGCCTTCCCAGGGCTGAGGTGTGAAAAGAGGTGCATCGGGCCCTGAGGCAGGGAGAAGGTGCTGAGTTAGAGGAGGAATGGAAAGAAAGAGGCCTGTGACAGGAGAATAAGGAATCCCATCCCCTTTGTATCGTCTTTGGCTGAGACAGCCTCTGGATGGAAAGGCCACATTATAAGCTCCGAAGAACGCAAGTGCCTTAATGAATCAGCTTCATAATCAATCAGTGTGTGCTCCTTTGCCCCAGGGAAGTTCCGCTCTCTGCCCTGGGAATTCTTGATTCAGAAGAAAGTCTCTTTAACTCTGGGAGCCTCACATTCTTTACCTCAGAAATGGGAGTTGTAATGCCAATACAGAGTTTCCAGGAGGAATCTGGGAAATAGTGTGTGGTCAGTGCCAGGCACAGGGTGGACACAGGTGCCCATCCTTAGAGAACCTTATGGGGAAGAGGCATGGCTGAGCTTCCCTTTGAAGCCCTCTCCCTGAACTTCCCCAGATCCAGCAAGCTGCACTCTGCAAGGTAGAGGCAGCCAGAGCTTCTGGGTAGAGGTTAGGACTTGCTCAGCTTGGCCTTGACTGCAGGGAAACAGATTGTGGCTGGAGGCCAGGTGTGCCGAGTTCATCAGCTCATGGACCTTTTAAGCCCAAGGATGCCCAGAGTGGGAGTGGTACAAATAGGTAACTTTTGTTTCATAGGCGTGATCTCTTTTATCTTCACTGCAACTCTGTAAGGAAGATTAAAATCATCCCTATTTTTCAGGTGAATAAATTGAAGCTTAGAAAGGCCGTTTTTTCTAAACCAGGATTGAAATCCATGCAATCTGGCTCCGGAGCCTGCGGTGTTAACCAATCCCTGCACTGCCAGGTCAGGGCACAAAGTCAGCCCCGCCCACTTTATGGCCCCGCCTCCAGACCCCCCACCCCCTCTTTAGTTCAATTCTACTGCTGGCATACTGTCAGACCCCCAGCCTCAGTACTCTTGTCAGCAAAAAGTTGAGGGGGTAACTGAGCTTGACAATCATTAAGATCCCTCCCAACATCATCAGTCTGGGTTCCTTCTAGTGAAAGTGATTTCAGGATGAGCCCTTTAAAGCCACGAAGTACCATTTCCAGTAGGGATTGGCTCCTGGAGCAAAGGTGTACAAAGACACCGTAGGTACAAGTATGTTCATTGCAGTCTTGTGTATAAAAGCAAAAGACCAGCCTAAATGTTCATCAAATCTCTACGTCCTAATACAGAAAGTTCTCAGACATAGTAATAATAATGTTGTCTTATATATATGCATATTACTACATTTGCACTGATAATTTTCAGAAGGGAAGAGGACTGGGAGTCTGCCATGGGAGGAAAATTACTTTTCATTGTATATCCTTCTATGTTATCTTATTTTTATTACCAATGTCTCCCTTCCTTCCTTTCCTTTTTTTTCATCCAAACACTCTCTAAGGGTGCTTTTACTTCTTTTTTTTTTAAAGATTTTATTTATTTATTTTTAGAGAGCAAGAGTAAGGGAGAGAGAAAGAGAGGAAGAGAAACATCAATGTGTGGTTACCTCTTGTGCGCCCCCTACTGGGGACCTGGCCTGCAACCCAGGTATGTGCCCTGATTGGGAATCAAACCAGTGACCCTTTGGTTCCCAGGCTGGCATTCAGTCTGCTGAGACACACCAGCCAGGGCTCCTTCTTCAAAAACAAAAAAAAATCATGCGCCTATCAAGACGATCACTTTGTAAGTTATATAAAAGTCTAATCACTATATTGTATACTTGAAACTAATAATATTGTGTGTCAACTATAATTAATTTTTTTAATGTTTAAATAAAGAAGTTATGAGGAAGACAGTGTGACCTGAGTTCAAGTCCTGGCCTGGACAGTAATTGCGTGATCCTCTGCAGAGCCCTTCTCACGGGGCCTGTATTGCTACCTGTCTAATGGGGGCACTGAGATAAGTAATCGAGTCCCTTTAGTGTGGAGATAGGAATGGGGGGCTGCTCACCTGGCCTCAGAAGAACCAGTCCCTGTCACCTGAGTTTATGACCATAAGCACAGAGTGGACAGCATTTATTGCTGCTCCTTGATAGAGAGCCACAGTTTTCCTCTGGGGACTGCCTCCTCCT